GACCTGGACCATGAACAGGGTATGGGAAGCCCTGAAGAATGCAGGGTCAGTCAGGACTGGTGGTGCCCTCAGTGCCCTGACAGTATTCAAGATTCTTGTTCTTTTTCTAACTGTACAGCACAAAGGCTACGAATTCTTGCTGCCTGAATACCACTGAGAGGAACTTAGGTAGGGAAGGATCTTGCTCCATGTTTCTTCAGATGTTCCATTTTGCGTGTTTCCATATCATATTGCCCAAATCTTGTCATAGAAAGGTGACTATCATGCTTAAGTCCTTATATAGCACCACACCACAAAATCTGCCCTTTCAGTTTCTGAGCAAGCCAATTACTTCTCTGAAATTAAATATTAGACACTCCTGCCTTTAACAGCCTTATTACTTATTATACTACTTGGTGACAATCAATCAAGAATCTTGAAAACTAAATGCAAAAAATTCATGTGCACATTATCATGAAACACTCTCCTATCTGCTACAGCCAAATATATTTTTAGTATAAACATAAGAGTTCCCACTCGGCATATTCAGTCTGACAAGAAGAAAGGCTGCAATAGCCAGGCTCATCTCAACACTTACATGCATTACCTTATTTATCAGTGAAACTTCATCACTCATACCTCAGAATCCAAAATTTGTAACTCAGGCCATGAACTATTCATGACTAAAATAAGAAGAGTGGTTATCATGTATGAACATACACCACAGCAGTAACCTCTGTCAAATGACTACTTGTGAAGAGGTGAGAAGATAAAGTCCCATGAAGTTCCTTGAGAGAATTGGGCATTCTTTTCCTTCAATAATCAGCAATGATGAAAATTAGAATAAAACTAACAAAAACCATCTTAGTTTGCAGACAGGCAGTGGTTTGAAAACAAGTGAGTACCCATCATAGATCAGTCATTTTACATGAAGTTCAGAAGAATACACAAAATTTAGTACGTATCCTTTCCAAATACTGTCAAACACCTGTAGAAACAGACAGCTTGAACACAATCTCATTGATTTTTATCAATAAAAAGGCATAAAATATATAACCAAGAACTGATATGCACTATTAAGAAAAGCTGTCTGACAGGAAGTAAATCTCCTGATTGAGGCATTACAGATACTGTAAAAGAAGTACATAACCTGGTCTTCATCTTTCCACTTAGGAATCTGTAGCCTCTTCACATTTCCATCACAAATTCAGATCACACAACTATGGGTACATGCTAATAATGTCACTTTCTGTCATTTTAATTATTATTGTTTATATGAATGTGACAATGCCAGAACCATTGACATGATGGCCACAATTCTATGTGTCAAATCAAACATTTCAAGGTTACTGCAGTATATTATTGCAATATGTAATTTCTGGGGTTTGATTTCATTTTAATCTTTGACATATCCTAGGAAAAATAGGTTTCAATCCCACCCAAATTAACACTGTCTCCTCACTATTTTTTTAAATCGTGTAACATCTCAGAAGAAGCTTTGAATTCTGTTTAATTTATTTTTGTTTCACAGAGGTATTTAACTCAGTCCTTTAAGGACAACCAGCCTGCAACAAAGTAACTTTTCTGTTGCATCTATTGTCACCCACTAACAAAGACAGAAGTGCTACTATTGGCACAATTCAAGTCTTCTGGCCTTATATAGAAATTTCCTTGCTTTGCATTAGTATTTTCTGTAGGCATTACTATAGTGTTTTTGCAGCTATTTGGTTTTGGCTGCCCCATAAGTAGAGAAAAAAAGTGGAATTTTCCTTCAGGTACACCCATATGTTTAAAAGACCTACACAGTAAAACAACAGATAATTTTTCAAGACTTAGCAGCCTGTATATTGAATTAAAAAGAAGTAGTGGGACTACTGGAATGACTCATCTCTGAATCTTGGAGCAAATATTGTTAAAAAAATTTAGAGCTGAATTCTGGATTTTATCTTGAAGACCCAAATGCTGTAAGGCTGGGGACACTTTTTATAAAATATATTTTAATATTACCTTTCAATTGAAATCTAATTAATATATGTAATAATTTGTCACCAAAATTCTAAATTGCATTTTAAAGGATACTTTACAGATATCACCACTGAAAGAAATAATAACTGAATTAAAATCCACCCTTGAGTGCAAGTGCATCAAATATAAATAAGTTATTTTCAGTAGAGTAAAAACACATTACTTGCTGTGACAGAAAAGTGTAATATTCAAGTCAAAGACATTTATTATCAAATTTAGAAACTACTAGTACCACCTACTGGCAGAACTGCAAAACTGAAAAAATATTTTCTATTTATAATATTCTGTAATACTACAATAGCAAACACATTATTGCAACTCTAATACCATCTTCGATTGCAAACAATATGCAGTTAGGCATAGGAGATTAATTTGAATACTTAGGGTATGTTTTCTATGAACTAAGCTACCACCAACTAGTTATAAACAAAAAAAAAAAAAAAAAAGGAAATAGGGAAAAAAAGTCCTAATTGCAGTTTGGTAAGGTACATAATGGTATAATTCAGAAACTAGTAATGAAAATAATCTCACATTTTTAATTATATAGACTTGTTTTCTTAGCTTTCTCTGCTGTGTTGGTGCAGGAAATCCACTCCCTTTATTCAAGAAGTTTTATTGACATTCTGCTTTTGACAACCAGCAGCATTTAACTGGAATTCAGTTTATCCCTTAGTGCTTTGAGAGCCACAGGAAAATTCCAAGATAAATGAGGGTTTGCTTGATCTGGATTTTTTTCAGATATATAGACTTCCTCCCTTTCTTCCTCCCTTCCTTCCTCTTCCCTTCCTCTTCCCTTGCTCTTCCCTTCCTCTCCGAACCTCTCCTCTCCTTTTTCTCTTTCCTCTATTAAACATATGAAATCTAGTTAAATTATCCCCTGCCTTTTCTAGGACAATTTGCAAGTATAATTTTGTTAGACTTTGTTGCTTCCAGTACTACTCTACACTGATTAAAACAGCTATGCAAAATACGAAAGCAGACAGTCTTTAACTCAGCAGGTAGCATGTTTCATTGAGGCCTCAAACTTCTTGCAGCAAGCCTACACCTCAATTTGCTATTCAAGACAAACAACAAGAGAAGAATATATACTTTTTCTTATCTGATGTATGCAACTAGAAAAAAATATGTTTAATTTTCATTATAATTTCCTGGAACAACAAAATAATTTTGAAAAAAAAATTATGTACCTTTTCCACTGCTAAATGTATTGGAGTTGCCTGGCCAGAACCATATATATATATGTCTCTTACTTTTTCTCATGTATTTATTTTGTTTCCAGTCAGACCATCTCCTCCATTCTCAAATTTTTGCTCCCAACTGCAGTAAGTAACACACCAATAGAAACTATGAACAGAAGTAATGAAAAATGACCTATTGGCCTGCCCCAATCTAAGCTGCTTGCAAGCTGAAAACCAGTTTGTATCAAGGGAAACATTTACATTACTCTTCCATTTTATCTTCCATTTTATGACTCTTTAGTTTTAGTCATTAATCTCTGATGTGGAACCTTGCTAAGTGCTTTTGAAAATCTAAATATACTACCATCTACTGAATTGTCCTTATCTGTTGTGGCAGTAATATCTTCAAAGAACTCCAGCAGGTTAGTTAAGCATGACCTCTCCTGTCTGAATCCATGTTGACTACCCTTAATCAAGCTATGTGGATTTACTTTACTTTGGACATTTCATACCAGATTTTCTGTATTTTCTCCCAGCAAATTATGAACTCACTGTTTTCCCTCATGACCATTTAAAGGAATATAATGAAGTTCTCTTTGATGCTTTTCAATCCTTAGGAATCTCTTCTGAGTTGTGTGAACTTTAAAAATGTCAGTGAAGAATTAAATTATTTCTTTTCTTGGTTCCCTTAGCACATTTTTGCTGATCGGAAGGGATGGAAATATTTTAAGAGCTTTATTAGATATGCCCACTCACTGAATTTACAGCTGTGTGTCAAATTGGGGGAAAAAACGTCTGCCTCATACAGCTGCTACTTCATTTGTCTGAGAAGAGTAAGAATAAATAGGTAACTGTTAAAAACAAAACCCAAATAAAAACAAGCAAAAAAAAACCGAGAAAAAAATCAACCACCAAATAGGAAATGTTCCATTTAAAGCTGAATTAACCTTTTCTTCAAGCTAAAAAAAACCAAAACCAAACTGAAACAAAACAAAAACCTCAAAACCAAACCAAACAATCCCCCCAAAGCAACAACAAATCCCAACAAACCAACCAACCAACCAACAAACCAACCCCATCAAAAACAAAACCAGTCATAAAATGAGTCATTTCAGTACTTTCTTTCACTTTCAGAAGTCAGAAAAAACAAAAAAAAAACCAAACAAATAAATCAGGTCTTGAATTCTAGTAAAAAATAAAATCATGTAAAAGGTGATGAGAAGGAGCCCTTGTTCTAGCTGCTGTCTGAACTTTATACATGCCACTTAAAAATTCTTATCCATCCTTTTTAGCAGATTTTTTTTAGTAGATTTATTAAATAATTTTCATAAAATAAAATGTATTGAAAAATTAACAAGATTTTTCCTCATAGAAAACCTAAATATTCAAGGATATTATATTTTATATTGTAAGATTTTTGTTGTTTTACTTTTGGTTTGTTTTTTGGTTTGTTTTTTATTTGGGAATGTTTACATCACATATATTTCAGAGCTTTCTTTACTACTGTCACTGGAATGAGGATTCTTCAGGGAGACCTACTCAAATGACTGTCATTTCTTAAATTTATTTTTTAAACATTATCATAATCAAATACTAAAAGTGATTATTTTACTAGATTAGACTCAACAGAGTAGCATTTGTTTGCCTTCTGAACCTAAAATATTGGAAGCACGAAGGGCTTCGCTTTCTCATACAAGAAAATTATTAAAGTAGATCCTGCTTTCTTGCCACCAGTATTTAAGCTAGGATTATATTAATATTACACAGTTTTTATGAAAATACTGAAAAAAATTACTGCAAAATATTGTTTTTGCATAATCTCAGTGCTAAAAAGGTTTTTAAGTAGGCACAAAGGATGAGACAATGTTACACAGACTAGGCATAATTATAATCTCTAGATCATGCACTAGAATAAAAATGTTGCTAAATTGGTAGCAAGGGCTGCTCAGGCCTTTCTACATCATGCCATTTCCACAGAGTCCTATTTCACATAGGTCTAATAACACAACTGCTTCTCAATTTTACCTCTGTGTTTTCCCCAAACATTTTCTGAGCTCATTGTTGCTGTCACACAAACACAACATTGACTGCTATGCACTGAGTTCACTTTCTTATAAATAGTGGTAAAAATCTCTTTCTGTCCTAGAGGAGCAGAAAGGAAATTTTGTTTCCTCTTTAGAAGGTAGAGCTTAAGAGCTCAGTTGGTGAAGCTCAAGTGGCTGTGACTGAAGAACCAGGGCTACGATTGAGCTTTATAGGGGGAGTTCCCAAGTTCAGGAACTGGTCCAGCAGCCCCAAGCCTCATCACGATCTGGAAGCCCTTGGCAGGTGATCAGGTGAGGAGGGGGCGGTGCCAGGAGCAGCTGAGGGTGATTTAAATGACTCCAGGGATTGTGAGTGACCTGGAGCAAGGCAAGCAGGCATGTGGCATATTGGTGAGAGTGGTCCAGGGCAGTTTGTGCAGGCAGGATGAGCAGCAAGGGCTCCTCTCTGACCATTGGAGAGGACTCAATAGAGGCAGCAATAGACTCAGTAGCTGGTAAGGAAGAGCAAAGAGATCCTTTTAGCCCCAGTCTTACAGGCATACCAGATTAATCTTCCTGAGTTATGGTGTTGACATACCCTAAAAATCAACCCAAGTAGCTGCAAGAGTCACTGAAATAGCTGTGTCCAAGACCACCAGCCAGCCAGACCTGCCCATGGTAGGATGGAGCTCTCCAGTCACAGAATGCCTGATGCCTCTTCCTAAGGCTGGGGCCAGCAAACAGTTCTTCTGCAGAAGATGTGCTGTGTTTGAGGAGCTGTGTCACCAGGTGAAGGAGCTACAGGGAGAAATGAACAGACTGAGTAGTATTTGAGCAAATGAGCAAGACATAGACTGATTTATTTTCAGAGCTGCTACAATCTCAAGACTCTTGGGAGTCTCAAATCTCCATTATAGTGGAGAAGCAGATGGACTCAGAACCCTGCAGAGCCCAGTCCTAATTAGTCAAAGGACTGATAGCCAAGGATTTGTTACAGGTGAAGACTGGAAGCATGCACCTACACGTACCAGGAGCGAGATTCCTCATTCTTCTCAGAATTTGACTGGTAGGACTGGTGTCTTCTGCAATAGGTATGATGCTCTGAAATGCCAGACAACTGATGAGTTGGGCAAAGGTCTTTCTGCCATAGAGGGGTCTCCTAAAACAACAGCAGTTGTACCCTGCACCACAACATCCCCTTTTAAGAGAAAAAAATAGAGTATTTGTAATAAGGGGAATGGATGGCTCTATGTGCGGTCCAGACCCAACTCACAGGAAGATCTGCTGTCTCCCAGGGGCACGGATAAGGGACACGACTGGAAAATTCTCCAGTCTAGTAAGACCCTCTTGTTAGCATCTGTTAGTGTACAAACTGGCAGTGAAGAAATAACGCAGAGAAGTCCAAGAGAAATCAAAAGAGACTTCATCACCCTGAGATAATTGGTAGAGGGATCAGGAGCACAAGTAGTGATTTCCTCAAACCTCTGTAACAAGAAATACTATTGATAGGAATAGGCAGATCCATCAGATCACTGCATGGCTCTGAGTTCGGTGTCAGTGGAAAACTTTTGTGTTTGATGGTGATGGGAGATCTACTCAATGCTTTTTCTACTGACACCTGATGAGATGCATTTATTTCAGAGGGAAAAAGGAGTTCTAGCACATGAGCTGGTGAGGCTAGCTGACAGTACTGTAAACTAACTTGGTAGGGGGAAAGGGACCAAGTTCACCACCAATGAGCAGTGAGTAAGGTTCCCCCAGGAAAATGTTTTTACAGGTGGTGAGGCCCATCAGTGCTGGTCACTTTTTAAAGTGATGATGATGACTTACTAAGGGTACAGGAGCAAGCAATTGCCAAAGGTTGGAAGTCAAGCAGGTGATGCAGAAGGAAATAGGAAAATTACAGTGGAAAAATAACATCATCCTGTTATATAATGAGGGTGACGGCCTCACAGATTGCCCAGAGATCTTCTGTCAGCCCCACCCCTGGAAGTGTTCAAGGGCAGATGCAGTGGGGCTCTGAGAAACCTAACCTAGTGAAAAATGTCCCTGCCTACAGCAGGTGGGCTGGAAATAGTTGATCTTTAAGATCTCTTCCCACCCAAGCTTTCTATGATTCTGTGAATGGATAATCATTGTTCTAAAGAGGACAAGCATATGACAGTCCTTAAAAATCCACTGAAATACTGAGCAATAGAAATGTAGACAGGGAGAGCTACAGGGATTTTTTCTTCTTCTCATCTCTAATTTTTTTTTTAATTCTTTTTTCAAAAAAAACCCAGCAGCTTCATAATTATTTTCTGCAGATAATAAGTTATATGGGTGGGGGAATCTTGTGATCTCTGACAAACTGTGTGGTAAATGTCCCTGATCTGAGCACACTATGGCTGTGCAGCTCTTCAGCACTGAAATAGAGTCAGTTTATAGCCAGGCAACCCAAAGCATCTACAGTTAAGCATTTACATCATTTTACATCCACAGTTATACTTGTCTTATTGACAGTGGAAAATAAAAACACAATCTAGTCATCAGCATTCTTCACTTGCACATAAAGAAATGAGAAGAAACATCTGAAAAACTATTGGGAAATTGTTGCTATTTTATCTAGAATCAAATAATTTTACACTTTATTTAAAGAACAGTTTGATGAATGGGGGAACTCCAGCCTTTCATTTTAAATCTCTGGAGACAGGAAAGGCAATAAAGTGTTCCTGCACTTTTCCAGAGAGTGTGTATGCCCTGCTTTGGTAAACTAAGTGTGTAGGCCACTTCAGAAAGAAAATTAGCAAGAGCAACATGACTGAGATATAGAACAAATATACACAAGAAAGGAATCACAGGTGTGTAATGAGAACATGATGGCAACTGAAGTTAATCAAAGTAGTCTATCCAGCTCTAACTGAAATGGGAATAAATCTCACCCTCTCATTTATGGTGTTAAGTGATACTTGAGATCTTCTTCAGTGCTTTAGGTTGTTGAAAATCAGAGAACATCCTGTGCTGAGTTTGCACTCCATAGAGGAAAGAGGTCAGTCTATAGCTGTTTGTTCGAGGACTTCTTTTGTTTTGCTTTTCTTTCCTCCAGTAATTCCATTTCTCATCAGTCTCTGATAGTGAACAACCTTGTGCTATGTCCTAAGAAACTTCCATGATTTAGTTTGGATTTGAAGTGTACCAGCCTTTTGCTACAAGGACTTCTACAGTAACATATCAAGACTTCAATACTCTTGCAAAGACATTCACTAGTATTTGGTGCAGGGGCAGAAAGAAGAAGTCGAGACATAGACTGTTAAAAGTTAAATTACTTATATTTAGTGTATTCTACCTGTCTGCAAACATAACTATAATACTATGTTGACAATATTAAGAATTATTTTCCTACATTTCCCAGCAAGGTTTCTTTTTATTTCCTTGTACCTCTTGGGGCTTTCCAAAGCTTCCAAATAGGCTTTAACACTTTTTAAATGTTAAAGATGCATTTAATGTGTTTTGTTTTGTTGGTTTCTGGTTTTGCTTTTTTTATCCTCCCCCCAGAATAGAAGCTAAGTATCTGATAATAGCACAGCAGAAGCTCTTTTCTGTGGAAGAGTGAACATCTTCTGTTTTCCAAGAGTTAGAAAATTCAGAAAAGGGGTAGATCCAGACCTTGATCTCTGCGGATTGTGTTTGTGTCCTGGTTTGGGGTGGAATAGAGTTACTTCTATTCATAGAAGGTTCTGTGGGCCTATTGTTAGCACCTGTGACCAAACAAGTGCTGGTAGTATACCAAGACTTCTACTATTGTTGAGCAGCGTTTATAGGGAGTCAAGGCCTTTTCTGTTTCTCACCTTACCCCACCAGTGTAAGCTGAAAGTGCACAAGAATATGGGAGGGGACACCATGGAGACAGACCACCCCAAGTGAACAAACAGATATCCCAGGCCACATCATTCTGTGCTCATCAATAAAAGCTAAAGAAAGATACAGGAAGGGTGGATGTTCAGAGTGATGACATTTACCTTCCTAAGTAATCATTACATGTCATGAAGCCTTCTTTTCTGGAAATGATTGAATCCATGGAAACCCTCTACTACTTAGTGTATTTGGTATATGTTGGAGGATCTATCAACTGCTTTGTGAGTAATATTTCCTTTAATTTTCCTTTGGCTGTCAAATACATTATCATTTTCAAACCTATCCAGTAACATAAGGAAGAAGGTTGGTTTACAGACCAGTCTCAAATTTTCATGAGAAAGGTAAGATACTATTCAACCTAATCAATATAAGATTGCTTCTGGATACATGCAGAAATAGAGTATAATATCTCATGGAAGGTTAGTGTTAGAAAGAGACAAACCTAGAAGTATGAATAACTCTGGCTTTAGAACTTTGTACCTAAACATCCAAAGGGGAACTTGGAATGTAGATATCAATTGACTCTATGTGTATATGCCCATATTCCATATATTTATAAAAAAACTATGATAGAATCAAGATATAGATAGAATAGATATAGATAGAATATAGATATAAATATAGAGTTATAGAATGTGCATAAGTGCAAGGCTGACAAACAATCACTTAGCTGGACCACTCTGTTTCTCTCCCAAGAAAATCATGCATTACTGGTTATATAAATTATCAGTGGATTTATGGCATTTAGTATTTAGGAGCTGCAGTTTGTTCAGTATCTAAGCAAGTTCAACTGAAGTGATGAAGAAAAACTATGTCATGAGTGTTATAAAATCTCAGAAGATAAAGACAAAATTTTCTGTATAATTTTCTTTTGGAAAAAAAAGCAAACATTTTAATAATAGTTTAGTCATTCTTCTCGCCTCATGTGTATGTTTTCGCCTATGACAATTTTAGAACCAGGATTACCATCTCAGAAAAAAAGATAGTGATATATCTCATTTTAGACTGTGCATAAACTCTCCTCTATTAAAAAGTACTGAATTAATATAAAACATGACAGATTAGAATCGTAGCACTATGATAAAATATCACACACATATACATTTGCTTTCATTTCATTGTTTAAAGAGTTTATTACTAGTCTGTATCTTTATATTTTAGCAGGAATATCCAAATAGGCAAACTTTTCATTGAGAAAGTAACATTAATTACTTTAAAAAATAATGTTATATATGAGGGGTTGCCTTTGTTGATGCCATTTTCTCCTGGCTATTTTACTAACAAGCTGACACAATGACAATGCTGTTGTACAACCACTTCTTCCATTTCTTTTTTTATCAGTACTGAGAATGCTTTTGTTGGCAAATACCTGCAAAGAATTGTCTCCCTGCATTCTTCAAGTCTTTTTATATTTGAACTTAGAACATCATCTGATTTCAATATTTCTTTCCATCCTACCCTTCTAATTCTGTCTATTCATCTATTCACCTCTTCTGGTCATAATAATTCTTTTTTCACTTTCAATTCTCCAGGCTGTCCATTGCTGTTCTTCTAAAACACCACCTTAGAAAAGTCCTTACACTCATTTCAAGCTACGCCTATATTGTCAATCTTCTCTTTCTCAGTAATTTGCTTCTCAACACTACTTTGTGTCAACATTCTAATTTATTTTGTTCTCCCCACATGCAATTGCTATTACCTTCTGTGGTCTTTCAGGCATGTCACTTGTCTGTAGTCACCCTAAATCTTCTCTTCAGCTGAATTCTCAGACTGAAAGGTTCTGTCACAGCTAATATTTCTTCACAGATCTAGAGATAATGAATGGTAGTGAAAGTGGTGTTTATTGTTCAATACATATTTGACAGCAGAGTTCAGGTACTGCAGAATTGGAAGAGTGAGAGCCTACGATAGGGAAAACTTTTATTACTAAAATCAATTTTTGGAAAGATAAATAATGTAATCATAAAGAAGTTTAAAAAGAAACAGTACATTAGTGAGTGTATACTGAAGAGTCAGATACTACATTTTGTGATCTGTAAATGTGAATTAACAGAAAGGGCAAGGATTAATAGAAAGGGTGATTTGGTTTTATACAAATATAACTTTCTTGGATGTTAACCAGGTCAAGTGTTAATTACTTCCTATATTTATTTTTGCTAGGTTTATTTAATAATTACAGTGTGTATTCTTTCAAAAAAGAAAAAAAAAATTGTGCAAGAATCAAAAATAAATGCACATAAGGAAAATAAGCTAAACAAATCAAATCTGGACCAAATTTCTTCAAAAATGAACACTATTGGGACAACTAAGTTTAGAAAAATATTGAACATCTCCTGTATAAAATTTATCAAGCACTATAAAAGCATGAATTGTAGCTTTCAGAATCTAGAAAGATAAATCATCTTTATTTTAAATTTCATCAGAGTTTTAATATTCTCCAAGCACAGAGAAAGTCTCTGTGTTGTTTAAAATAGAAATAAATATATCAAACTTAACAAATTACTTTCTTCAGCTGTTTTACCTCCAAAGAGCTTTAGTTCATTACTCTTTTGGAGAAGAAAAGCAGATAAAGAAATAAATCAGACATATTTATATTTATGTTAATTTTCTACAAAAGAAGTTGCTTTTTTTTTTACCTTAGTTGTCTTTAATATTGCCAGGTGGTATTATTAAAACAAACAAAACCCCCGAATACAACCATATGGATATATACATGCATATATATAATAGACACACAAATGCAGGTGAGTATATCCAAACACAAAGCAAATTTTTTCCTTTCAAGTTATATCCTTACGTTTGTAGTCCCAAAAGTAATCCTTCAGGTAAAAAAAAAAAACCTTGCTAGTAACTCGAAAGAAGTAGATTGTTTTATCCTTACGATCTGTTGACATTGCCTGTGCACATTGTAACAATGAAGTATCAAAATAAGTATGCCTTTAAAGCCTTTAAATACGTTGTTTAACTCTGTTGGAAATTTTGCATTATGGAACTAGGTATTAATTATTTATAATTTTCCAGAATTGCAGGTGAATCTTTTAAAAGTTCCTTTGCATCCTGTTTGTAATAAATTAGGTTATTCAAATGCACAATAGGCTCTAATAATGGTGCATTAAATCAAATTAGTTGGTCATAGGCAGGCTTGTAAAGTCTGGAGAGGATATATGTAACTCCTAATGTTGAAAAATATTACTGATCTGCATACCTTATCTATGTGGACAATGCATAATTTCACTGTAAATAAGGATTTCTTTCAAAATGTTGTGTAAAACTTTAAGGTAATTAGGGCTCGTTCCTGCTGGGACTTTTTTACAAGTGAAATATAAATCCCAGTTGTAGCAATATAAATGCCAAATATGTTTATGAAAAGAAAAACTATCAAATAATTTTAATGAAATCTCACATTAGCTGCATTGAAAAGAAAATCTATAGTGTATATATATATATAGTATATAGGATGTGAGCATTTGCTCAGTTAAAGGAAGAAACAATTTATTTCACTGAGCCCTTGTATGAATGCTTGTCATATCAGTGGTAAGGGAGGATGCCTTTATCCCACAGTCCTGACCATTAGATCTATATTTTCCCCTTTAATCTGTGTTAAAACTAGTTTGGTATGTAATTTCTATTTCACACTTCCAGAGTTTATTTCTTTGTATCAGTGCACACCAAGGATACTTTTCTCTTACCTTAAATATGCAATTTACTCTGAGATACACAACAGTTTTTTATTACTGTATTCTATTTTACAAAAAAATCTTTAAAAATATCAAGTATCTGAAGAGCAAGAAGAGGAATGATCAGCTTTTTGGACATTACAATAAATACTCAACAAATGAAAGGAAGATGACAAACAAAATTACCATAAAAGATGCATCTTCACAGCTCTGGGGATATGATAAATGCCTGATTTTCATTTTCAAAAGAGAGACAAACATGTTCTGGTTTCTCTTCCTAGATGCTTTTTATTTTGCCAATAATGGGGAAAAACACTCCAGTCTTTCTGGCCTTGGTGCTTTACAATATACTACTCAGAGAAAAGCCTCACAAGGAACTTTGGATATGTTATGGCAACACTTATTGCTTCAGGGACTTGGTATCTTACTGGGAGAAAGAGCTTGCAGCTGGAACCATGTGATGTTCTGCAACTTCAGTGTTTTGCTATGGGTTCTTACAGTTGTAAACAACTGCAAAAGTAGCAAATCTAGCCTCAGCTGTGCTAAGAGTCTGGCTTGCCCCAGAGATCCCCAAGAAGTGAAGCTGTGGTGCAAGTTAACTCTGTTGGCTTAGCTGTATCTTTAGTGTAGATGGCCCAGATCATAACAGGAAATCAAATATTCTCTGAATTATTTATGCATCTCATAATCTTACCTGAACTCTGCATGTTTCAGGCATTAGATTTTTTAGAATTTGGCTTTCACTCTTTTTGTTTTCTACTGAGTATTGTCCTCTGGTGATTTTCACCAGTAAGGCTTACCACCTACTTGTTCAGAGCGTGACTTTAAATAATTATAAACACACACACACAGAAATATAACACAACAACCTAAAGCTGGTCTTCTGAATGATGATGTTGCTATTTTAATATTTTGTTTTAATATTCTGGAATTTCCAAATGTTTCATTGGTGTATTTTTATATGTTGGGAAAGTATTTTACTTGAAGTTATTAATTAAAAATAACACAACAGGACAAGTTCAAGTAATTTGTTGAAGATACTACCAAATTAGGAAAAGAATTCTTTTTTAGAAATTTAAAAACAGAGAGAAGAAATCCCTCCACTTTTTTTTTTTGTTTGTTTGAAATAGTACTCAAATATAAATAGTTTTTCTTTACCCTAATTATAAAAAATTATTTACTAAAATTTTGAATTTGTGGGTCATAAATCTTAAAACTGGAAGTTGCATCTTCTAACGACATGGTCTGTTGTATAACACAGTATGCTGTGTGCAGGTGCCCAGTCAGTGGCAGCGGGGTCTGCAGGGGTCACTGCAGACAGAACCAGTCCCGCTGGCTCTGACAGATCCACCACGGGGCAGCTCTGAGCCCCACAGCCAAAGCAGTGACGCCTTGGGCAAAGCATGCTTCGTAAAAGGGAATAATGCTGCACAGCAAGGAGGGGAATGAGGGCCAGATTTGTGAGAAATAAACCTGCAGACAGAAAGGTCAGAGAAGAAGGAAAGGGAGGAGGTGGTCCAGGCACTGGAGATGAGATTCACTCCCCTCTAGTCTGTGGAGAAGACGGTGGTGAGGCCGGCTGTTCCCCTGAAGCCCATGGAGGAGATCATGGCAGAGCACAGAAAAGGTGCCAGGAGGGAGGAGAGCCAGACTCTTATCTATTGATCATAATTTAAAAAATCTACTTTTATAAGTAATAATTTCACCATTTGCATCATAGTATATACACTGTTCCATTTGTTTATTTCATCATTCACAGCAAAAGGTAATGATGCCACAGTCCCTGACCCATAATTATATTTGCTTTATCAGAGTCACAGCACTGTCAGTACATCCTTCCTCTCACAGCCTGAGAGGTGTGACTGCAAACATGATTTCCAAAAATATTGTTAGGTAGGATAGTGACATTAACGGGGGAAAATGTTTTCTTGTTCTTTCTCTCTCCCTCTGTGACAGAAGTAGCAGTTGCTCAGACACCTGAACATGAGACTCCTGGCTAAACACTGGACAGTGTTATTGCAGGTATGTCAGAGAGGCAAGTACCAGAATGGATCTGTTTGATTCAGCTGGAACCAAAGCTCTGCCTGTATTTTGAAACTGAACTAATCTCTTTTATCAGAGGTTAAGGAAGGAAATGGAAAGACCCATAGTGACATAAATATGGAACAAAAAGTAAGCACATAAACAATGCTGTACTGCTCATTTTATATCACAATTTGTACCACAATGCTGCAGGTGACAATTCCAGCACTGGCAAGTATAGCTAGCTTAGCTTAGCTTCCACTTTTTCCAAATCAATGTAAAATAATATTGAAACAAAACAACCACACAATATTTAGTGTAGACAGGAAATTATATACTGGTGTAGGGGTAATCTGTACTCTATTAAATGCTGAGTTTAGTTTCTTTACAGTTTTTGGTTTTAGTGTTCAGTGAAGTTGTAGGTTAATAGTAAGTTGTAGGTTAATAGTAAAGTATGGGTTCATCTATGAAAATAACAGTTTCTTGATATTTCTGGCAAGCATACCTGATAAAATTTACCTTAGTTTAAATAATTTTACATAATGTAAATAGAGAGAGAGTGGCTGAAATTTAATGTGAGAAATCCAAACATCATAAATCATCTAAGGGCTTTTTTTTTTTTCGGTGATAAACTGTAACATGGGAAAATTTATGTAATGTGATTGTCGAAATTTAAATATGTGTCAGTATTGATATACATCTTTTTAAAGTACTTATGTACACACAAATGTAATAAACTGCCTACTGGCACAAAGTTACATATAGAAGATAGCAATCATGTAATAGGAAAAACCTCACTGACCAGTTTTTCTCAAATTTGATATTGGCTTGCTGGCTTTGGTCCCATGCTGTTCTTTGTGCACTGAAGAAACATTTAGGATTGTAACTGCAATTATTTAATAGTTGACTGAACAGACTGAAAGCCTTTTTTTGTCTCTTGAATTTGCATAGACTTTAATATTGAGCAATAGTTCTTGTCAAGATCCTGCCTTATGCTGTGGAAGACACATGATGTGATATATTCTTTTTCAATCATCATATGAAAACATATTAAGATTCTAAACTTTGATAACTCTACAGATAAACATTATATTACAGCAAAAATTAAAGCTCAGGTCAAACTGAGGAAAGAGTGATAAAAAGGTGAGTATAACCAGCCAGTTGCTTCTGAGCACAGAATCATAAGCAATGAATGCAGCACTAAAATTACAGAAAATTTGGAATCAGAAAGTCTGTATTCAATGCTTGTCTGACAGCAATGAATACAGATAAATAAAATTGTGTGACAGGAAGACAATTTATTTTATCTTTTTACAAAAAACCCATGTTCATTTCTGCATATTACTTTGTTTATGTGCTGTTGTAATTTCATGTCTCAGTCATTAAGTAGGATGGACGTAAAATTTGCAGAAAAATATTCAACTTAATTATTGCTAAATACTTTACACTATGCAAAATTAAACAAAACAACACTAGGACTACAAATATCCATATTACCCTCATAGGTACAAGACACAGTTTTTAATTCCCTAATGTAATTCAAAAAAGTGTGATATATTTGGCTGCCCTCTAAACAGTGTGACAAAACATTTTTCATTTGATATTGAGATGCAAATTAAAAATATTCTTTCTGGGCAGCTGTGAAAGCAGCATAGTAAAGGATTTATTTGAGGAGCATAAATTTAGGAACCCCAACCATTTTATCACACTAATTTCCTTTTACTTTTTTCCCAGAACAAAGAACTGAATGACTAATTTAGTGGGAAAACAGTTCAACAAACAAATTTTCTATCCCTCAAGCATTTCTTTAGATCTAAGCTCCACTGTATTTTGAAATGACTTATGTCAAGGCCATTGAGATTTCTATTCTTAGAACAATAATTTGTTTTTGCATAGAATTACTATGAACTGTTTTGTAGTCTGTGAGCTACAGAGGCAATAATAGAGAAACATTCACATGGCCCATTTACTGGATAAGGTTGCATAAATTCCATCTTATTATGTATAAGTGGTTATTAGGATAGTATCTCAAACAAGAGTCACGAGAGAGGTATAAATCCTCAAGCTGTCTATTATAGAGTCATTTTACAGGATCTGTGGGTTTATGAGTATTGGATACTTGGTTGACTAAGATTTCTGGACAGCAGCAAATGGCATTTTTACTGGCAAGATTTGAACTGTAGAGTCCAAATGCCAAACAAGCCTGTACTTTTAAATCAGAAATATTAAAAGCAAATGGGAGAAATAGTTATTGATAATAGCAAACTCCTTTGGGGCTTGAGAGAATGGAATTGTTAAGCCTCAGCAGATTTTATGAGGCATTATGAAGTTCTGAAGAGAGATACGTTTTCTTATGAGAACTGAATGCAATAATTTATCAGCATAAAGCTTTGAGTTTGCATAGATCCTTGGGCTGTAGCACAGAGAAGTGACAGAAAAGCTACTAGTATTGAGGGGACAACTTAAAAACTAGTAGGTTGTGTCGTTAAGACACAAAGGCCTGAATTCTTTAAAGTTTGCTTGTTCATTAATTCATTCCTTTTCAAGATTTCTCATCCCTACTGTGATCCAAGGCTATCCATGATCAGAGAGAACTTCTAGTGGGGCAGAAAGAAATCCTATGGTGTTAAAAAGGCTTTGAGGGAGATCCTATTACTGAGAGTATCCCAGGGTGCAAAAAGACATAGGACAACACATTTAAAACATTGCACTCTTGAAATACTGTTTAGACCTTACTGATTGAGGGTGACACACTTTCCCAATAATTTCAAACCTTTTCTTTTATGCTACCCATGCAATGAAAATTGCAGACAAATGCTTGTGTCTTTAAATTTTCCTATTTTAATTTGCAAAGTTTGGTCATTTTCTGTGGAAAATTTATGAGCAGTTTTGCCACTGGAATCATAATTTGCTTACATAGAATCAAATACTTATTTCAGTTTTGTATAGATGTTTCTAATTTTTAGTATTTCTTATGAAAAAAATAAATAATTCAGCTAATAAACACTTTTCTTTCCTGGATAGAGATAAATCTTCAGATGCAAACCTGAGGCTTGGTATAGGATGAGCAGAAGCAACTATTTTTGGCATGGAGAAAATATACCTAAATTAAATTTTAATATAACCTACCGTCAAAATAAATTTAGTTTGAAACAGCCAAGATGTCTTGAGACATGAAAAGAGGAAGATATCTTTATGTGATTGATAAATCAGATAAATAATAAATAATCTGGTTGATTTTTTTTTTTCAAATTTAAATTTAGGCTAAAGGTGCTGTGCTAAACAATTTCTTTGTATCTCTATGGCTATGATATTTGGAGGGGTTTACATCTTCTTATTCTTTGAATCTCCACTGAACTTTAGTGGAGTGAACTTCAGTAGCTGCATTCATTAAGATTCAAAATGAGACAGCATAATTTGAGTTTATATTAAAAGAAAACCAAAAAACCCCAAATTTAAGAACACTGAAGATAACTTCTTACATTACTGTTTCATAAAGAAAGTTGAAAATATCTCTTGAAGGAGAAAAACTAATATTCACTCCATCATCAATATAATGAAATTCATTCAAGAAACTACCTTTTTTTTTAATATTTTCAGTAAAGAAATATCTCTTAATCTACTTGAAGCACTTCGCAATCAAGCTCCAGCAAGTGAAGTGGAATTTCATTGTTTCTTATTAGAGCGTTGTTATCTTGAAAAAGTAGATTGTCTGAGGAAAATTATAATAATCCTTTTAAGTTCAGACTGCTAGCAGATCGCCCAATTTCCTGCCATCCTGCCCCTTGCCTGGTACCAGCAGTGTAGTCAGGAAGCCTCCCACGCTCCAGGGCAAGGTGTGATTCTGTATGATAATTGTACTGCTGTGCAGACAGGATGTGTCATGGCTCTCACCCACATTCAGAAGGCTTTGGCACTATTAGCTGCTGCTGCCAGGCGACCCACACACTAAGTGTCACTGATAGTCCTCTGGAGACAGTACAGCACTTGTGCTTCTGTTTTTGCTCTCAGTGGTTGGGCGAGTCACGTCACGGGTGTGTTGCTCCTAATCTTTCTTACTGTGTCAATAAAGGTTTACATTATGATTTATATATTTATATATTTTTGTTCAGACCATAGAGCAGGAATGAACAATATATCAGTCATTCGTGGGGGAAGGGGTGTCCACAGCAGAGAGCTATGCCTAGACTGTCTGCCTGGCTGTAGGCCAGTTACCTTGTTGGTATAGAAGCTGGAGACACAAGCTCAGAAAAAAAAATAAAAATAAAAAAAATTATTTAATAGATGGAAAGTGAAGGCAGACAAATTCAACTAGAAAACAAGCTGGAAAAACAAGAAAACAAGAACAATAGATCACTGTAACTATTTGCAATCTCTTGGGAATTTCCAAGGAGAAAACACTGTGGGATTATTTTTGAAGCAAGGTAGTGTTTTGTGTTTATACAGTGTGTTTGCTTAAATAAAAAAAAAGAAAAATAAATTTCTCCTATTTGGGCATGAGCCGATCATTACAGTGGGGTGCTCTTGCTTTATAATATAACAGAATAATTACTATTACTATTACTAATTACTATCAATGCTATTTCTTTCTGTACTGAAAGACAGAGAACAGGAAGGATAATGAATAGCAGAGACGAGAACAGTAGTATCATAATAATGGAGCCAATCCAGATTAAAATAATGAGGGGGGACTGTGCTGTTTGAGATCCCAATTGAGCCACAAAGATTTACTTTATTTATTTAGGTGTATTTTTCTTACAGTACTGAGGAAGTCTCTATTGAATTCCTGTAACTGATCTCCTTAAATCAGCTCCACCACTAAGCCTGCACAGCTATAACACTGTTGCTCTTACTCTGGGTTAACCCTTGTCTCAAGGTGCATTGCTCTGCACCAATGCCAAAGAAAGCTGTACAATAATAGTCATTTTTAGAACCATTGTATCAGTTGCATGCTGCATTGAAATAATTCTAAATATCATTCAGTCAAAATCATAATTGAT